ACGGCTTACATAGTAGTCCTTAAATCTCATTCATCAGTGGACTGCAAAATCTTTAGCTCTGTCCTCGAAAAGGGCGTTTCTCTTTCTTTCTCTCTCTCGAGGTGCCAAGCTCCAAACGAATTTCCGCTTGAAGACCAGCCGTTAATTCAAGGGAGTGTCTTTGACATTCTCCTTTACCCTTTATCAACACACCATGTTTCCAAGAAAGTCTTTTTCTCTCCCTCTCTCTCTCTCTCTCTCTCTCTCTCTTCGGCGATTGCAATTCGCTGCAAACTCAGTTTCGGACACAGTCGTCGCAATCTCGACACGCCTTTCAGCGATTCTTTTCATCCACCAAAGAGCCTCTTCACAAACTCTCGTTTGACAATCCTCACTGGTGATTTGCGCGTAAAATGCTAACTGAGCGGAGCTTTGTCGTATAATCGATAATTCCGACGTTGTTATTTGCGGTTTAAAAGCTAATCCTTTCGCTAATCTCCTTGATGAAAATAATCTCCGTCTGACGTAACGTCAAAAATAACAGCAACGCTGTTGCCCGTATATCTCATCGCTATTTCTGTATTTTGCGTATGATCGAGCGCTTTGAATCGGTCCATTTCCTTCGAAAATACGCAGCCGCGTACACACGTGCCGAGTCTTTTGATGTGAATGGCATACGAATTAGCTGGCTCTGCCGGTGGTTTCTTGCTTTGAGATGTCCGATCCAAATCCGACATATACAGGCCATTCTCGATGCATTTCCGGACAATTTAGATCACTCTCGACATGTATGTATGTATGTACACTTAAGGGGGGAGCCTGGTTTATAGTACGCTGAAAAGGTGATTTTTGGAATTTTTTTTAGGAAACTATATAACCAATCCTTTTGAACTTTATAGAGTAATTTCTTATAGGTACTATTGAACTAACAAAAAAATATTTTTTTTGCCAGAAAAAAATATTTATTAAGCAAGTAATAATAAGTTTTTATTCGGAGCGTCGGCGGGCGGCGTACAATGTAACGTCGCTTGTATTTGTCTAAAATAAAAAATCCAAAAAGATTAATGTTTATTAAGAGTTTACGCATTAACTGAATCTATTTAAAAAAAAAAAATAATGCAAAATTGTGAAAATCGCGACACTTGGAAAAAAAGATAGCGATTTTGGCAAAAAATCTTTCGTATTTATTATGTAATAAAAATTATTTAATTAATTAATATTACTATAAACTGTGATTTAAGTTATTAAGGAAGTATTTGTGCAAATATGCAAAGGTCCAAGTCAATCGGATGAATAGTTTTTGAGTTATCTTGCACGCCGCCAAACACCATCACTGCGGAATAAATGTTATTATTACTCGCATAATAAATACTTTTTTTGGCAAAAAAATATATTTTTTTGTTAGTTCAATAATATAAGAAATTACCCTGTAAAAGAATTGGTTGAATAGTTTCCTAAAAAAATATTCCAAAAAAGTCACCTAATTTTTCAGCGTGCTAAACCGTGCGTGCGTGTATGTGTGTATGTGTGTGTTTAAGGGGGAGCCTTAAACACACACATACACACATACACACGCACGCAATGTCTACATGCATTTATATATTTATATATATAACACGTCTCATTTTCCGTGGATATAAAATTTTCGAAGCAACACATTACATTACAAACGATTTCATAAATTCCTGCTTTAATATAGTTTTTAATGTTGCATTAATAAGTGACAAAATGTTTGCAAAAATGCAACAATAAACCCTTTATTTTTACTATACTTTTTATTCAATTTCTCATGTTCTCGTTTATAGATAACGTATCTTTACTTTCGTCATTCGAGCCATCAGCATAAGAGGATTCGCTTCTGGATGCAAGTAACTCCGAAGATAGTCTCTTTAATCGAAATCTTCGTACTTTTCGCTCCTCCATCGAGAGCCCCTCTCTCGCTCGCTAATTGCCACTTCCAATTTCAGTTAATTACTTTTCGCCGAGTTCCTCATGTCCCGCCCCAGCACATCCCTTCTCGATCCGTTATCATCGTCAATGCGAACTTTTATACGAGGCGGACGATAATAGCGTATCTCGAAGAAATCAGCGTCACCGCTCTCGCCCAACGACTACAGCTTTTTGTCTACAGATTGTTCCAGATTCGAAGAAGATTGTATTAATCGGTTTTTTTTTTGCAAAACTGAAGAAATAAGCTTGAAATGGCATGCAACACTGATAATATTATATCAAAGTTAAATTGTAAAACGAAAGAAATTTAGATCCACAAGTATACAACGTCATATAAGTCTGCATATTTCTACGCTTTTTTATTTTAAGAAATAGACAGTTTTAACTGCCCCAATCTCGGTTTCCACGGTCGACAGCATTATCGTCTTCCTGCTAAATCGATTATCCCAAGGAACACGTAGTCGCATTGACGTTGCTCCGACGTCGCGTAAACTATCAGTGATATAAAATTATATGTGCGTCGGTGTACAGAATACATAAAGCATTGGGAGAGATGATGAACAGTTGCTCTTGATTTCCATCTCTACGGCGCCGAATGCCATAACACGTCCGGACATGGTTCTTCTGATGACAAAGCAACTTCGACACAACAACTTAGATTACGTACGCCTGCGTTATCCTTGGTGTCACTATGTATATTCGCGCTTCCATCAACCGAAATTACGTGCCAGCGCCAAGACAATCTTCAATTTCTTTTTTATGTTTCTCGCCCGTTAGATTCCTCTCCAACAGGAAAGCTATAAGACGTCGCTCTTAAAGCTAGTACGCTTGGATATTTTCTTAGGATATTGAAATCCGAGATGTATAGTAACCGTTACGGAAGCATCTTTTTAGTACGTGAAAATAGAAAGATGCGATATAAATTTGAAATTTGAAAAATGGAAATTTTATTTTAATTTTTACATTAAAACATTATTCACGCGTTACGTTCTCCGAAATTCCGCGGTGTCGGACACAATTTAGAGGCCGCGAGTTCGTGGCGTGCAAGCTATTCGGCATGAGAGATCGAGCCTCGCAGCAGTGTCTTAATCCGCGCCGCACGATAAAGTTTCGCGACGTGGAATTAAAGTAAAATGCGAAGTGTATATATCCGCGGGTGTCGTTGCGGGTGCAGGGTGGCGCGCGTCGTACCGGGCCGCGCGGTGGAACGCGGTGCAGCGCGCGCGGATGTATCCATTTTCCCCATTCCCCGGCATTTTCTTATGGGAAAATTCGTTTCTCCGTTTTCCTGCACCTGCAGCAAACCGGGATGCATGGCCCCTGTCCGTGACTCGCGCGGGAACGGAGTAACGCGGCGTCTGAAGAAGGGGTCGGTCGGGCGGAAGACAGCGGGGGAGGGGAATGGGGAAACGACTCGCGGCGGAGCCTCTCTTTAGTGGCTCGTAATTCAACGAGAGCTTTTCTCGAATTCCCCGGCAGCTCCGGGGCTGCGCCGAGGATACAAATTTTGCACGCACATTTCCATGGAAACGACTACCGCCGCGTCGTCGCGTCGTGGCGAATGAGAAAGGAATAGGGGAGAAGTTGACATGGCGTTGGGACGACACAGCGGATAGCGGATTCTTGAGAAGCGAGCGGCCGCAGAGTGTGCGGGCGTTAAACTTCCGATCGAACCACATCATGCTCGTCTTTTTCGCAAATTATGTGTTATTAATATCGCACCGTATTCGCGAAAAAGAAGAGGTATCATATATATATTATACAGTTATTAAAAATGCATTTTTCGCGTTTAAAAGAGAAATTACTACATACTTATTGCTCAGCATTTTAAAAAGTACGCAAAAGACGACAGAATATATCGAATGTTTATTTACGAGCGTTCAATATGATAATTTTCGGTACAACATGCAGTTTGCACGAAATCGAGGTCGGCGAAATGCTGAAGGTTAATAGCAAAACTATGTTCTCGCATTGTTATGAAAATCGGCGCGCGCGTGACGCCCGTTGTTGTCGGGCGTCGCATATAGGGCACAATGCCTAGGTTTCGACATTTCCATACGAAGCAGCCTACACAGTCCAAGTTTCTGACAGGTATTTCCGTCTGGACCAACGCTTGGCTGACGATGGTATCTCGTTGAGAATCGATAGCCAGACAGTCGACAATGCGCGTCTGTCAGTTACTTTGATATTTTATCAAATCGACTTATACCGAAGTCTGTGTATACTGCCTCGATCTTATTTGTCGCACGATAATATGCATCTAAATATAATATCTTTAATAAATATAAATAAATTCCAATGGCTGAATTACGTGCGTTTACATTTGTACAAACAGTATTTATTATGTCTCTTTTATGACATTATTATTTATATACTTACTATATATATATATATATATATGTATATTAGAAAATTATATATAATTTAAAAATTTGATTATTTATTTCGAAATTATTCAGCATTTTAGGGAATGGATATATGTGTATATAGGGATGTATATAAAATTAAGAGATAATTTTAATTGTGGCTTTTACTTTTAAAATGTGGCAATAATTTGCGTTGAAAAATTGTATAAATTGGTATTTATTTATAATAATGATCGTAAAATAGTTCTCTTAAGAATTAAATTTGCAGGATTCGAGTCATTCCCTAAAATGCTGAATAATCTCGAAATGAATAATCGATTTCTAAATATATCTCTTTCCTTCATTTTTGTGTCGAAAAATACCCGACTCATAAAAGGTCTGGCGCCGACTACATTATAGTAGTTTGACAGACATTTCGAAATGTACTGTGTACATAATGTAATGAGTACATGTATGCTGCAGGTACTGAATGAATATTCTCTTATTTATACTCTAGAATTACGAAGAAATTTACTTTTTAATTCTTTTTACTAACAGTTGATTATTAAAGGTCTATCAATAAATAAACAATACTATCTACAAGGAAAAAAATTCGCGTAAAATTGTAAATTTTCGTAATTTGTATTTAAAAATTACTTATAACGAAAGAAAGAAAGCATTGTTTGAAAAGTACCATAACAATATTTTTAGCTGAAAGTTGCCAAGTAAGATATTTGATTCTTTATTCGCCGTCTAGGAGGATTATTTTATTACATTATTATTAAAGACCCTCTAATCAGAGCGAAATAACGTCAAAGTTAGGTCAGCAACGCCATTTTTCAATTAAAACCGGGAAGCAAACTATTATCATACTATTATATTAACTGTATTGTAAAATGACATACATATTAACCTAGAGACATGTGCATCTAATTGTAAATACAGATGTCAGAATATTATACATAACAACATAACGTGTATTTCAAAAGTACAAAATTATTACTACTATTATTACCACATTCATTTTAGAACCTACTAATTACCTAATTACTACTATTTATTATTATTATTCTGTTCGATTTATATTTGTTGAGTGAAATGAATGTCGTTATTTGATCGAATAAATATCTCATTGTCGACGTAGCGAAGTGGAAAGCTGCGAATGTAACGTGACATTCTCATCTTCTCACTTTCGCCATCCTGTTATAGGAGGTTAGTGGTCCATTTATTCATGAGGCTGTCCACTTTCTGATATCAATGTCCGCTAAGAACTGCGTGTGCTTTCATTAAAAACATGACGCCCATGTAGTATGTACTTTGGGATCTGAAAAAAAAACGTTGGAAACTTTCAGTCGTAATGAAGTTATATAGGTAAAAAAAAAAGACATTGGAAAAGACTGTCTGCGAACATGCTGCAGGATACTTTATTTTAAAAAGATACGCGAATAATAGGGAAGCTAAATAAAAATGTATGATGTTGAAACTAAAAAATTAATACGGAAAAGAACAACATTTCACGAACGAAATGTTTGACGGAGGTATATAAGAAGCTTCCCGGGAGCAATGTCTTTAACCGGGGAATGGGGTATCAATATATTGATTTTCCTTCAGTCAATTCTCGAATAAATACAAGACAAACGGATGAACCTATCTATCCTCGCTCTCGATGTCCGTTGACTTTTGTTTGCTTTGTTAATATTAAATCAGCGAAATGTTCTACCGTCAGCCGGACGCGCGTATATACGTATTTTCCGATGGCAGCGTTGCCGGAATTTCTATATATACGTTGGTACGTTTATTCAAGAGCGCACGCAGTTTCGCACAACGTAATTTTGCCACAAACAAACGTAATTATCGCAACACTATACTCGCTGAAGGTACAAGCAGTCCGATGCAGAATGGATGCTCGTAATGGAAGCGGTCGGAAGTTTTGTTACTTCTAATATGCAAGAGACGCTGAATTTTTTTTCTTGGAATTACATTAGTTAAACTTTCCAACCCAGCTCCCAACTGTTAATGTACGTGGAATGCATACGCTCATAAATGTACAAGTAGAATTATGGTCGAAAGAACTACCGAGAGACTATTATTCAAATAACGTGATTAGAATAGAATAATAATATACAAGATGAAAGTGTTGAAAGATGCATAAAAACAGAAAAAATTATTTCGCGATTCCTTCAAACAGATAATTTTGCACTGTTATTGTTATATAACATATATATATTTATATGACGGTAACATATATTTATATTACATATATATTTATATTGAATCATGTACCAACTGTATAAGTTATATTAACCATGTATAGTTTAAAAATTAATTGTTGAAATTATGAATTGCTAAATTATGGATTGCTCCTACATGATATTAATTCGAGTATGTATGTAGCAGAAATCAATATCACTGAAGAGAATAGACGGAATTCTCTCTGTCGTCCCTCCCCTTCTCTCTCTCTCTCTCTCTCTCTCTCTCTCTCTCTCTCTCTCTCTCTCTCTCTCTCTCTCTCTCTCAGTCTCTGGATGTAACTTACCATCGCAACGTTTTTCCGTTGCCAACGCAATTCTACGACGATGTCGGTTTGGCGCGACGTTTGTCCCGCGGGGAAACTCGGAACGAAGTAATCTCGGGCTGGCAGGTAATATCGTGCGATAACGAGCCTTTGTGGTCCTTTACGTACGTTTTGAGCATTCAGTCCAGAAATTCGATCGAGCATCCTCACAGCACTGTTTCCCGATTTACATCACGGCAACGAGAGACGGCGACGGCTGTCGCGTCCATATGGACCGTACGTATACCTCGACTGTTGCAAACTACCTGCATCGTGAATACATATATCTCGATTGTGTTCCGCCAATACTCTGACCGCCCCGACGAAGTCTCTTTGTCGAAAGGCGTTTGATTGCACGCGCGTTCGAAGATTAAACTCGAATCGAGGTCCGGAAACTCGCGTGAGTGGAAGCGATTTGCATTAATAAGCGCGTACGGCGACTTTTAATAGCGCGGTGCAACACCGCGCGCGTCGGTCGAATAAATGAACCGTATAAGTGATGTAACTCGATTCTTGCGCCGACGACTTCAGCGGCTGAGACGCGGCATTTCACAGACTGGTAAAGAAAATGTGTTGATTTCCGATGTAAAAAGAAATAAATCAAGAAATTTAATAAAATAAATTTTAAAAATAATAGAAATATAACAAAAGAGAGAGAGAGAGAGAGAGAGAGAGAAGAACCAATTAAAATATAGAAGACTATATAACTTTGAATACTACAGCTATATTTGATACATCATAAGTCATGCTGCTCTTTTCCAATACGCGCTATTATACAGTGTCGTTTAAAACTCAACCCAGTGCCGCGCGACAGAACGTGCGGATAAACCAAACGGGACGGCTGTGGAACCGGGGGCTTTGATAGGGAAGGAAAAAAATATGAAAAAAATTTGCGACGCGGCGAGCGACGCTAATCGAAGGAAAATCGATTTTGTTTTTAATTTTGCCCATCGCGGAAATCGATTCGAATTCAATTCCAGTATTTCGTATACTCGCTAACGACTCGCCCGCGTGTGTAACGCCGTTTTCGTCGATAATTGTGACGAACTCGCGAAACTCATAAATCGCGGTAACGCAGACGCCTCGCAGCGATACGACGCGCGCAAATCCCACGAGTTTCGCACGCCATCGAACGCCGCCGCGCCGCAAGCGAGGCTCGTATTCGAGTTTTAATGAAGATGGGAGTCTTCGCGGCGCGAGAGGGGTGGTGAAAAAATGGGAGAAAACGTACGGGGGCGAAGACGGCCGGAAAAATAATTGGCACGTCCGCGAATAATTGCGCACCTGTCTCCTCTCTCGTTCCGCTTTTAATTGGGTTATCATCAAGGTATCGGCGAGGTATCGAATCTCGCAGCGTGAAAAGCGTGTGTTCAGACACAAAAAATATATCGTTACGTGTGTATAAACTGTTTTCTCTCTTTCTTTCTCTTTCGGATGACAAATTCCGCGGGTCGAATCCAGCGAGAGGTGTCTCACAAACGTCCTCGCGTCGATTACATGCAGACTGACGCAATCCGCGACGAAGCGTGAGCACAAAGCTAAAGCGACGCAAGCGATTACGCCCTGCAAGCCGGTCGGCCGACGTTTCCCCTCCTCCTTTTTTTCTCTCTATCTTTTTTTTTTGGCGAATGCATTACAAAGACGGGCGACACGCCGAGCGCGAAACGCGCCGTCGGCGTTATCCACGCACAATTTCGTCGGCCGTTCGCGGACCAGAGACGCGAGCGCGCGGACGCGGACGGCGCGAATGTTTGCTGTGTACACAAAGACGCCGCGTGCGCGATGTACAGGCGTCGTATCCACCCTGTCCGTGCGCATACCCGTGCTCACACACACATACACACACACATACACACACACATACACACATGCACGCACGCACACGCACGCACACGCACGCACACACGCACACACGTACGTAATTCTCTCTCTTCCCTCGCCATTTTCGCTCGTTTACTACGGAATGCAATTTCGTGCCGACGTGGCGCATGGCACACAGCGACACAACATCCCGCGCGACAGATTACCGCTTTGTTTGCGCTTCCCGGTACTTCGAAACGCAATAAAGATCTCGGCGCAAGCTGGTTCCTGACAGAAAGAGGGAAAGACCGAAACGTTAAGACGGGGAGGGGGCGGGGAGGGGGAGGAGGAATGCACGAAACGGCCGATGCAAAAATGCGTTTTTAAGATGTTGCACAGTAAGATGATACCTCGTGTCTCAGTTTGCCTGCAGTGTATGGGCTTCTTTTCTTGCCTCTCTTCATAGATTGCAACTGCGGATATACATATAGGTATACACAGTCGAACCTCGATAACTCGAACCTCTACAACTCGAAAACCTCTATAAGACAAAAATTTTGTTCATTCCCCTCCGCTTCACTGCGGAAATATCTTAACTCGAGTTAATTGTTAGATATTTAGATGTATTATTTTACCTCTGCAACTCGAATTTTACGTAGCCAGACCTCTACAAGTCAAAGTTCACCTCTATATATATAAGTCGAACTTTTATATATTGTCGCTATCTCTATAATTGGAAGTTGTAGCTATGTGTAACCATGAGTAATAGCCTATAATATTTATTTTATGACTACATTTATTTGATTTATTACCTATGTATGCAATAAATAATTCACTGTCAAATATTGAATTTTGGTTTCCTTTAAAAGCCATTATAATCGGAAAATTATAAACTCTCGTACAAAAAACTCTCGTTTTGATTACTTCGTAAGTCAAATTTTCATACGTTAACTCTCTTTTACTTAGAATTTCGAATAAGTCGAAAATTCTATAACTCCTATTGAGATTCGAGTTATCGAGATTCGACTGTATATATGTATCCGAGTCGTAAATTAATTATCTTGACCATATATTTCTGCCGATAATAAAATAATACGAAAGTACGAAACGTGAAATCATAGAATTACGTTCGTATAATGATTGCATGAATTCGAATTATTTTAATATTTATGATACAGCATGTGACACGGCGGAAACAGTTACACAATATTTTGTTATAAAACTAATAAAATTGTTTGAAAGTAAACTCGATATTTAATTGTTATTAATTGTTATTAAAACTAAAATCGACAGGACTTTATCGGTATCTCTCGCTAAAGCGAGAGAGACAGATTCCCCTCTCTTTACATTAAATACACGCGCGAGCGTAATCATAATTAATTGCGACTTGTTCACGCGGACGGTATTATCCGATAATTTAGCCGCCGTTGGAAATGTTGGGGCGGATGGCGAGCGGAGAAATATGAAAATATAAACTCTCTCTCGGAGTGTGTATCATCGTCGCGTAACGCGATCGCGCGTGGAAACGCATGCAAATTCCCGGGTTAATTAGAGCTGCATTACTGCACGGTTCGGTGCGTCGTCATTGTCGTCGCGCGCAATATTACCTGCCTGGAAATGGCTGATCCCTCCGTGCATCTACCTCGAAAAATCCGCGCGCGTGCGAAATGCGCGGAGTGTTATTAAAAAATACACCGGCTGCCTCTCGCGTACGCGGAAGCTTTTATCGCGACATTATCGTGTACACATATGTACATATACATTAATGTCGTACGTATTAATATGACGCTTATTAACACTTGTTTGCGCGAGAGATCCTCGACCGGGAAAATGCAATCCTAAATTACGTGTACTCGGAGTTTTGTTTGCCGCTAATAGCCAGGCGCAGAATTTGCAGGGAGGGGAAAGAGTCGCATTGAAAAAAGGAGTCCTTTTTTTTATTGCACATTGCAATATTCGCAAGCTATAAACTGCTCTTTTCACTCTTCGTGCACTTTTAAATTAATCTTGAATCTAATATGTACATATATTTGATATCGTATTTCTTTCGTCCGTACGTTCACGCAAAGTGCGCATAAATTGCCTGTCGATACACTAAATATATGCAGAGAGGCAGCTCCTCGGGAAGCACCGTGTACCTCGCGCGCAAAAGATAAGAAGAACGTTTAATCGAGCGCGGGACTCGCGGTCGGGAAGCCGACGATTTCTTCGCAGTTTATCTGGGCTCGCGAGCCGGTCTTACTTTATATACTATCAGACGACACGTAACGAGCGTAGTGAAGTCTCGTTCATTGGATTAAACGTCGAAAGGCTGCTCCATTTTACTTCGCCATTAGCACCGGCCGGGAGCAGCTTTATAGCTTCTCGGGGATCTCTCGTCGTTGGACATTAATTAAGATGGGATCTTGCTCTTCTTAGCCGATCAATCGTGGGGCAATTTTTCATTAATCGACAATCTACAGCCGAGACGTACGATCGGTCTTTCGCGAAGTGGAACGTAATCATTTATCGCGCGCGCGTTATATTATAACATTATCTGTCTAATTTATGAACTCTCTCTCCCGAATATGCATCGTCTTTGATCAATGAATGTCAATGAATGTCTGCAAATACTCCAATTGAAGAAATATGATTTAAATCGAGTACTGTTAAAACGATAAAGGTTATTTAAGATTTTTATTTAAAACATACTTAATATATTGAAAGTATTATGAAAAAGTAAAAATATTAAAAATCATAAAAAACAAAATGCAACATCTCTTTTATATATCTCAGAATTAATATGACCTATGAGCATGTAGAGAAGAGAGTTTTTGATTCGCAGCTTTCGGGCGATCAGGGTGAGGCGTAATCGGGTGTTTTGGAGGATGAAGGGAAGGTAGTCGCCATGGTAGAGGGGGAGACGCACACGATGACATCATATATGTCACCCACACATAGTGGCTTAGAACCTGTCTAGTATCTAAATATGTGATCTAATAGTCCGCGATTGATGTTATCGCAAGTGATGAGTCATTTTGACAACTCTATCGATCATCTAATTACGTATTTCCTGTCTATACATCGTCTAGACTTCAAGGGCTGACGATAGACAAGTTTTTTTTATGTAATTATTGAATGATGTTTTCTTGTTTGCTAAATCATCCCCTCCTCCCCTCTACCGTGCGGCTACCTCCAGTCTCACTCTCCCAAAACACCCGACCGCGCCTCAACCCCGATCGTCCAAAAGCTGTGAGTCAACAACTCTCTTACCTATAAACTTACTTGTATGATATTAATGACATTAATTACAATCAATTTGTTATTAATATTACCACATCGATATAATAATACTGTTATTACATTTTAAAAACCGTTACCGTACATGGTATATTCGAAATAATTTTATAAAACACTTTTTTAATATATGTATTTTTAATTATATATAAAAATTTTTGCCACAATATGCATGAATATGACA